AGCACTGAGAGTACTGAGGCAAGAAGATTGTCAAATTTGAGGTCAACTTGGGCTACTTAGCAAGTTCAAGGCCAGCCTCAGCTATATAGATAGAGCCTGTATTTAAAAAAAAAAAAGGAAGGGGGGAAGGTGTGGTGGTACATGCCTATGGTCACAGCTACTCAGGAGGTAGAAGCAGGAGGACTGAAGTTCGAGGCCAGCCAAGAAAAGTTAGCAAGAGAACCCACCTGAAAAACTGAAAGCACAGGGACTAGGGGCAACACTCAAGTGGCATAGCACTTGCCTAGCAAGTTCCAGGCCCTGAGAGTCCAATCCCCAGTACCAAAAACCATAAGGCTTTAAAAGCATTTTCAACTGATAATTTAGCATGAAATTTCTTAGATGTTTTAATTATATTTTGACCCCAAAACTGAACTTTTGTACTTTTCTTTAGAAGAGCTACTTTGAGAAATTACAAAATCCATTAATATTTCAAAATATGAAGAAACTTTTAAGTATTTGCTAAAAAGAATATTAGCACTACTAATCAAAGAAATTAGTTTTCTGGTGTCAAATGTCTCCTCAAGGGATTACTATTAAAACAAACAAGCAAAAATAAGCTTACACCTGCTCCTAACCAATTCTTTTCCAAAGCAATCCACCTGTCTCAGACCTAACTCTAGGCAGCAGAGTAACAGCACTATGGTGTTCTTTTAAAATCTCAGCTGTCCTTTCCATTTCACTTCAACAGTTTTAAGATTTTAGGCTCCCATTATTTCTGCTTACAATAAAATAAGAGAAAATGAAATTTTCTCCATTTGGGATAGCCAGAGATGAGGAAACTTCTTAAGCGTACCTATTGTTACAGCTGATATTGCTGAAAAAAGAGATGAAGGTCTATCAATCCCTCAGAAACAGTATGAAATCCTCCCCCAAAAACAGCGCTGCATAGTGCTGACGATTTTAAGAGAGGCCAGAAAATGGATTGAGCTCGAGATATTACTAACATTTGAGGAGTAATAGCAAAAGAATAAATTAGGGTCATTGACAGCACATACTCTGAAGGATAGGGGAAGGCCATGCACCCAATACAGGAAAAATGCTACTCAAGAAAATTTTTACTGGAAGAATTCAAAGTCTAGCAACAAGATGAAGTCTGAGCTGTTCCCAGAAAGAGAAGAATCTATTTCCTTGCCTTTTTCATCTTCTAGAGTCTGCATGAATTCCTTGGCTCATAGCCAACTTCCAGAGTCTCTCTTATGTAGATCTTTGTGACTACACTGAGCTTACCTGGAGAATCCAAGATATTCTCCCTGCCCAAATATCCTTAACTTAATCACATCAGCGAAATCCCATTTGCCATGTTAATGTACCATGTTCACAGTACCTGATCTGGGATTAGGACAAGGACATCTTTTTTTTTTTCTCCTTTTATCATTTTTATATTTGCTTACATGTATATACATTGTTTGTGCCACCTCCCCGGCCCCACCCCACTTCCACCTGTTCTGCTCTTTGTTCTCTGATTTTGTTGAAGGGAAAACTTAAGAGATAAGAAAGACATAGTGTTTTTGCTAGTTTGAGATAAAGATAGCTATACAGGGAGATTCCTAGCATTGCTTCCATGTACTTGTAAATTGCAACCCACATTGGTTAGTTTCTACCAGACCTTTTCACTAATTCCTGGTCCTCTTCCCATAGTGCCCTCTGCCAATTTAAGATTACTTTATTTGCTCCTCAACAGGGAACACATCAACCACATTCAAGTTTTAGGTTTTCTTTTCTTTCCCTATTTCTCCCGTGCATGTTCTTCCCTTAGTTTGTGACTCAAGGACATGGACATCTTTGAGTGGATCATTACTCTGCCCACAAGAAGTTCCAAAGGGTGGGTTCCAACAAGAGGATGCATAGAAAGCAATGAACCAGGAAATGCCTTGAAAAGGTTCCCATCATGCAAGAAAAATCCATGACAATTGTCGTGAGCTCACCTTCTCCATATAAAGTATACATCCTGAGGTGGGCTTCCTTGGGAATGTAACAAAATAGCTTGTGCACTATAAACACAACATAATACTTGTGCTGTACTACACTAAATACTAAGGGGAGAAGAAGATGGCAGAAAAACGGCAAAAAGAAAGGAAATGAATTTTGAAAGATTAATGTATATTGAAGGTAATCTTCTAATTTCCCACCACTAGAAAAATGACCTAGTGAAGCTCAGTTAGAAACCATACAGACCACACCTGAGAAATTATCTTTTTTTGTGTGTCTCGGACTGGCATCGCTTTCAGAGATACCAACAATGAAAGCCAACATGTGGAGAGCAGCAGCTGTAAGCCCAGCACTGTTGTAAGACCACGACACACATTAACTTAGTTATTCTGTTCAACAGCTCTACGAGGTGAGTGGCATTACCACTGCCATGTTACAATTGAGAAACACTCCAGCACAGAGAAGTTAAAGCATCTGAGCAAAGTCATGTAACTAGTAAGTGGTAAAACTAGAACTTGGACTTGAACAGTCTGCAGATGGTATGGGAAAGAACAAGGTTCAAAGTCCATCCCTAACTAGAAATTCAAGTTTGGACAACTTCATGATTATTAAAGTCTCACTTTATTCTGTAAAGTGGACTAGTGACTCCCATAATTATGCTAAATCCAAGCACAGAGACCAGTATATGACAGTAATCACAACAGACAGCTAGTATTAACACTACTATCTTTTCAACATGTTTTTACAGACTTTTTTTTTCCAAATTTAGTCACAATACCAAAAACTTTCATTACTCTCCTCACAACTAGTATAAAAACCACTATATCCCCTTTATTCTTCAATATCCTTAAACTTAAACAAATAGTCTCCAGTTTTTCAATAATGAATCAAAAAACCATTTACAATCAGGCTGCAATTTCTTAAATAATAATGAAATCTCCTAGAGATTGCCAACTCTGAAAGAACTTTCCAGGATGTTCTAACATTCATACATTTCTTTCCAAAAGTCCAGGGATTCAATATCTTCTTGGCAGACAAATTTCACTTTCAACCCAATTAGCCCTTCTGAAATACAGTCATACTCACAGAGCAGATACTTGAAGATTCAGAAACAGCGTATGGACATCCCAAAGGAAGCAGAGAAACTCAAAACACAATTTCTTCTCAAGAATCAAACTAAAAAAGGATATCTTTCAAAATTATGACCCCATTTTTACCAAAGCTTGAAAACTCTATAGTTCTAATGGCTAGAAATAATATTTGTGAATGACCAACTGATAAGCTCCCTAGCTACTCAAGCTCAGTTAGATCTGAATACTTTACCTTCCTACAACAATTTAGTGATGCTCCATTTTTTCTTCTGTTGTGTTTCAGTGTATTCATTAAATAAGTAAACCGGGTATAATCTTTTGATTCCCTGAGTCCTAATGTTAAGTTTTCTCTTTTAATTCCAGAGAGTCCTTGATCTGAAGCAGCTCAGTAAACCTTTTAAGCCAACCACCCAATCACATTAAACTAAAATTTTCATACCCCACCTTCTTCCAAAGTCATCAACAAAACATAATTATGAGCCACCACGTAAAGAAAATTCATAGTCTGTCACATCACATCATCAAGCTGACTTGTGACGTTCACAACTCAGCACACTCTCTCCAGCCAAATGATGCTAAACAGCGGCTAGGCACAGCCGCCCTTAAGTTCTGCTTTAAGTTCTCCTAAATCCAGTTTTTCATTAACCATGGTCCCAACTGTGGCCAGTGTGCATGCTTTTTCCATGTTTCATCTAAACTTCTGAAATCATTTTCTGAAATAATTTAGGATAGAATCTTTTATAAATATGTCCTCATATACATGACAACTAGCTAATTAGGTGTCATTTCACTAAAAATATCAGGTAGGACTCACACTAAGGTCACACTGGCGCATTTGTTTTTGTTTGTAGTGTTAGGGATCAAAGCCAGGGCCTCAGACATGCCAGAGAAGAACTCTATACCCTCAGAAAAACAGAACTTTTTGGACTGAAAGTCTCTGTGTATAGGTTCCTGACACAAGTATAGGCTCTAGTCTAGCTAGTTTGCCTTGTCCTCTATTAGGGATACTCTAGCCATAAGCCTATCATTCCTCTCAATCTGCTATAACCAAATGACAGGGTTTACTATATTCTAATTAGAGAAAGTCTTTTTCGTTTGTTTGTTTTTTTTAAGACAGGTTCTCACTAACAGCTCAGGCTAGCCCTAGAACTCACAATCCTTCTGCCTCAGCATCCTCAGTGCTGGTATTACAGGTATGCAACACCATGCTTAGCTGACTTCAAGTATTTTGACATTTTTAAAAAACTACATAATATTTTAAACTGACAATTCATAATGACCTTCATCTCTGGAGAATGTATAAATGTTTTATCTCCACATCTTATCTATAATTTAATGCTTAAAAAGTATTACTTGAAATAAGCTATTTTTTAACTAAAGCTTAAGATTTGTTTCAACCCTTGTTATTTAAAAATACAGTCCAAAAATACATCAGTTTTTTACCTCATTAAGAATTACCACATAGGCTAGGTATCAGTGGCTCACACCTTTAATCCTAGCTACTCAGGAGGCAGAGATCAGGAGGATCATGGTTCAAGGCCAGCCTGGGGAAAATGAAAGCAAGACCCTATCTCAAAAAATATCCAACCCAAAAAAAGGCTAACAGAGTAACTCAGTGGTAGAGTGCCTGCTTATAAGCCTGAGGCCCTGAGTTGAAACCCTAAGACAGCAACCACAAAACAATATATGTTTATATAATGTTTATATATGTATATATACATATTATATAAAACTTCAGGTATAATTATTTATTTTACAAATAATTCTATAAGATGATATTTCATGAACCAAATCTTTAACAGGAGGTTATTTACTGGGTTTTGTTTTCCAGAATCTTTAAGTTAGAAAGTAGGGAAAATCTGGCTAGTAAAGAATTTATTGAAGCAAGAGACTATTAAATACCATTTCACAACATAAATGCAGAACAAAACAACTCACCTGATTGACTGGCGAATCACTATCAGAGCAGTTATCTGTGCAGTAACTATTGCTTTTCTCCTGTTGAATTTTTCTCTGCCTCTCCTGACTTCGTATCTCATCTTCTTCAAATTTATTAATCATAGACTCCACCACTACCATCATAATGTTCTTCAAGGAATGCATCATTTCTTTATACCTTTAAAGTCAAAGTAGCCTTAACAAGAGAAAGACTATCAGCAGAAATTAAAAGTCAACTAAATTAGATTACCTGGTTTTTTTCTATAAAAAAAAGAAAGTCTTTTAAAGGACACAATGTTAAAGAGAAAAATCTAAGTTACTGTTTCATAAACAAAAAATGGTATAACAGAATTCGTAAGACAAGAATGAAAATTAATAGGGATTTTTCATCTAAAAATTAATTGTTTTTGAACTAAGGCAACAAAATCAACTGACTCTAAAGCAAGATGTTCTGATGGCATGTATTCTAATTACCAGCAGCAAGATCAAATGTTAACAACATAACATCATACCACCAAAACCCAGCCTCTTTTACACTTCACCTTTATCTCTTGTCTTACCTCTGTTTCTCTATCATCCCTTCCTTTATTTTTTCCTCTCCTCTTCGATCTACAATTTATATCTATGGGCACCCACAGCCACAACTGAGACCTGCTATGCATTCAGAACCTAAATAAGAGCTAAACTGACATTGGGTCCTTTCAAACAGAAGCTAGAGAACCTATTATCAGGTATGTTAGGAAGGAGATTCCTTAAGTCAGTAACAGTTAGAAGTGGAAAACTTCTGAGACCACATTTAGCTCTAAAGTTCTAAAAATTTCAAAAAATAACATAATAAATTTCTCCACTTTTTAAAAAGTACAGACTCAAGTATTCATGCTGTTAGACTGAGACCCCCCAAAGCCCTAGAAATAGAATAGATCTAGAAAGAACCAAAAGTCTAACCCTTTACAAATGAGAAATGTGCCTAGACCACTGACATTTCTGTATTTAAAAAAAAATAAATAAAGATTTAAATAAACAGGAAATAAAGTGCTAAATTTAGAATTAGTAATCCTGGATTAGAATCCTAACTACTTTGCCTACCCAGTTCTATCAACATAAATAGTCTCAATTTCCTCAAACTATAAAATGAGACACACCTACTTCACATGGCTACAGTAACAAATAAATGAGAATATCTGAGAAGGCTTTGTAAATATAAAGCACTGAACATATATTTGTTATCATTATAATAATGAGATTACATTAGGAAAATCAGAACAGAAATCCCTCTTTCTCTATATTTATGACTAGTGGGTCATGTCACTACATAAATCAAGGGAAGGAAAGGTACTACCTCTCACAAAAGCATAACACCACTGGGGGATTTGGATATAAACAGTAGACTGAGATTTTTATATAGAAATTATATGCTATATTTTGCTGTAATTTCTATTTGGAATGTCTCTCAAAGGTCCATGTGTTAAAAGATTGGACATCAGCCCATGGTGCTATTGGGAGGTAGTGGAACATTTAAGAGATGAGGCCTAGCTAGGGAGGTAGTAGGTCATGGGAAGCATTGCCTGCAAAGGAGACAGTGACACGCTGGTCTCTTGCTCTCTCTTTTTCATTTCCTGCCATGGGATGAATGGGCTTTTTCACCATGTATTCCTGCCATGATATGCTGCCTTACCACGGTCCCAAACCAACAGCACCAATCAACCATAGACCTGAAACCTCCAAAACTGTGAGTCAAAATAAACCTTTGCTCTTATAAATTAATTATATCAGGTATTTGTTACAGTAAAAGAAAGGTGAAAATTATATATTATACTAACATAGTATATATATTTGATAATATACTATATAAGTATATTGTATATTATAATATACTATAAGATTTTATATTATATGTGGTATATAATTAGTATATGTACTATTATTATACATTATATAAATCAGTAATATATATTTTTTCTATGTATAATTTAAACATGTGTTTAATTTAAACCCTGTGTTTACAGATATATTGCAATATATATGTAACAGATAAACATATATTTTACATTTCTATGTATTATTTTAAAGTACTAGAAATCATGAGAAAACACAAAAATATTGAAAGTAGATAGGAATAGATTAGGAACAATTAAGGGAGGAGATATAAAGAAAAGAACTGCAATGGAGAGAGAAAGAGTTCAGAGAATGATCTCGGTTTCAAGTAAAGGGATATAAAAACAAGAGGAATCATGAACTCTCATAAAGTTATTTGCCAATTATACATGTATAAATAACTTTGCCAAGAGACCTGGCATCTTCTTCTAAAGATTCCAAGCAGAAAGAAACAGGGAAACATAACAGTGCCGTGTAACCATCAATAGCTATCCACCAAAAGCTGTTTCTCTACGTCCACAGTAATTGAACTGGAGCTTAAACTACACTCCCCAGAGTTCTTCTGTAGTTTAGATATGCCATGTGAGATTATAAAGTCCCTGTCCTTTCAAACTGGCAATTTGGTGATTCAATGAGGGAGCATAAAAGTCAATCCCATGATACACCAGGATAAAGAATAAAGGCCAATTAAATTCACAGGAAATCTTAATTTCAATTGGGCATAAATGTTTCCAGCAGACTTTTTTTGAAAAGACCACCATCAATTCTTCTGTATAAAACACCAGAAATAAGAGTAATCATTTTTAAATCTAATTTTCTTAAGTAGAGCCCCTACTATCAATTATCAAGAGTTAAAATGAACTAGAACTCAATAGCACTACAGTTTTGACACAAATGAAGGGAACAAAAACAGGATAGATTATAGTACCTTAAGTAGATTCTGTTAACGCTCCAAGAAGTAAATTAAAAAAAGAAAGAATAGAATAAAAAGTTCCAAGTAAAACCCTTATCAGTTAATAATGAGTATCTACATACTAGTGCTTCCCCAACTCATTATGTGAGTAATATATGACAGATTCCACAGAGTTCTTCCCTATGCAAACATCTATTTAAGAAAATAAATATCAATGCATTTAATTAGGAAAATATACTTTCTAGTTATTACACGGAAAATGTTGTTAATAGATGTAATTTTTGCCACATTAGCCAGAAAGTAATTTCAGAAGCACTACAAAAAAATGTAAGAAAAATGTACCTGTACAATTTAAAATCTTTCATCCATGGTTTCATAAAGCAGAAGGCAAACACCTTATTAAGCCATTTTAAAAATCTTTATGTAGTCTTATTATTGTGTTAATTTTACACATGTGGTTGAACTAAAAAACAGAACAATTTAAATGCTTACCCAGAGATTTAAAACAAAGTAATTCCCTAACAGTATCTGTAAAACTCTGCTCTTATCATTAAAATACTTTCATTATCTGACTAATAAAGTATTTTTAGCATTTCTTTTAGGATAACTTTAAGAAGACTGCTAGAAACCAACTACTAGGAATTATAATATTATCCAAAGATAGATGTGACTCCATTTTTTGTTTTCTCTCCAATCAAGAAATAAGAAATGATAACCTCTATGGCTTTTATATCATATAATTTAGTGGTTTGAAACTTGGCTGATTTACTAGCTGTATACTAATAGCTGTATACTATCATTTTTTGGTCAAGTAACAACATGTTTAAATAATATAATTCTTCTCACAAAATGGAAGAGCTCTTCCAAAGTAATAAAAAAAGGTTTAATTATTAAAAAGAAATCAGACTTATACTTTAAAATACAGTAGAAAAGATAAGTTCAAATACCTATTCAAATATCTCTGATACCAGAGTTTCAAAATATCCTACAGACCTACAGACTTGTCACTGTCTTTGAAAATAAGTCTTTTACTAGAACACATGCACATTTTTCTTTTATTAT